AGATGTGTAATAAACATCATAAGAAGCAGTGAGATTTATGTGRATTTTGAGATTTGGGTGGCTGAAAATTGAGTATTAAACTGTTTGAAAAGTCATCATCTATCTCTGAACTAAGCAAGTCTGAAACAGGAATCACTCTCTGTGCAGAGAGCCAACACGTTACGTACACAGTGCTCAACCTGTAGTGTGCAGGCTGCCTGACAGCATTTTTGCAGAAGATTCAGTTTTTCTCTACTTAAAATGAAGTAGAGATGCATGCAAAATCTTGTACGATATTTTTTTGATCATTACTATTTTCTTTTGACCATTACTGTATTTAGACACTTGTTTCTTAAACTTCAGTTCAAGTGCCTTTCTTCACACATACTCTTTCTTTCAAAAAAAAGCAAAAAGGATTTTATGTGTATATTATATGATATTAATGCTTTCTCTAGCTTTTTCTCTTAGCTTTTTACTAACACTTTTTTTCCCCACATTATTTACTGCTTAGCCCCCATCTTAATATTAGTGTTTAAGGAAATGCTTAACTGCTGAATTATAGTTACGTGGATGACACAAAATCCAGGTGTTTAATTTCAAAAGACGTGTTGCATGACCTGCACTCTCCCCTTTCCTGGAATAATCCTTCTATCTTTGCCCTGCTTTAATGCACACAAAACCCCACGAACTTCCCTGCCTGGCAGTGCCTCTCCCGTTGCATCTGCTGGCAATGTGTGCGTGGGCACTTTCTGGTCAAAGCTGTACGGATAAGCCCTGCTTACCTTTCCACAGGTGAAACTGTCTCCCCATCCAGTGCACAGCTTCCTCTCTCATGGAAGAAAAGAACCTATCTTTTAAAAGGGATTTTACAGGTATATACATGTTTTAAGTAACCTCCTTACCTCACTTACCAAGAGCACACTGAATTGCTAAAGATTCTGGTTTTTACAAGCTCCCTTGTGTTTCACAACTTAGGACGTGCTTGTCGGTGCTTTTTGCTCCCTTGGGATGGAGAGGCAGGGCTGGTGCTTACCCTCCACCTCCCGTGTTCCCAGGCTCTGTGCAGCACACGGCAGCCAGGACTGCACTGCCAAAATAGACTAGGAATAATAAACAATCATTTCTAACCAAACTGCACTGCAAATATAAGAAACAAATCAGGTTTAAGGTAGGTAATTAGATCTATCTTTATACATTTTGCTGTTGTTTACCATGGACCATTTTACCCTGTTTACTTCTAAGTAGATGCCCCTCTTGATATTAGTAACAGCTCCATGTTAGGACTACAAGGTGATGTGGCACTATGGATTTCAACGTAGGTCCTGGAAACCTTGCAAACAAAACATTCAAGTTCAACAAGAAAAAAAGATACCACTTTTACAGTAACTCAAGTGAGGTAAACACCAAAATACTTCTCAGTTTGAAAGAAGATTCCATTTTCTGTTGCAGGGAAGAGATGGATATTGAGGCTGTGTTATTCTACTCGATAGAAGTGAAGCAATGAGGAAGCCATTCTTTCCTCCTTTTCTGTCAGTTTAAGTCTTGAATGACTCCAGTGAAGTGACTGAGGTTACGTAGAATTTATGTCCCCGTAACTGAAAACCACTTATCAATATATCTCCTGTAGTTTAATTGACAGACATGTCTTGTGCTATTTGGTTCAAAGTTCCTGTATCTATGCTGGAGATGAAAATATATTAATTGGAAATAACCCCCTCCAAACTGGTGGAAGCTCTTCTGTCCCAGAAAGCAGTGAGTAGATAAATCAATGATTCACCACGTCCTTCCACCATGCACTGATAATTAGCTCCTTTGCAGCTCCCCGGATAGATGCAGCAGAACTTAAGGTGGAAGGATCTCTTGTGTTGCTAAACAAAGCCCTCCTATGTTGGGCAACCTAGTTATATAGTCCCTTTCATTTATAAATTAACACCTGTAGCTAATTAGCTTGTTTGTTTTCACTGCTGCTCTTAGCTGTTCCAGAACTCTCAACCCATGTTGGGTAAAGCCTTTGCCTGCTTTTTAGCTTATATTCTAGGGTCACAAATTAGAAGTACAAATTAAGACAAATCAATAAAATATCCCAAATAAAGCAGTGCCTATCTGTCTGAGAACACTATTAGTGGGACAACTAAGTAGAATTATGTCATGAAGAATGACTGCAGAAATGCCCCTTGTTCCAGCATATATTTCCTACTTTGATGTTTTCCAAGTCACACTGACGTAATTTACCTGGAGTCCTGCCTAGATCGACGCRTGCCGTCTCCACTGTCGTCAGCGAGAATTCCCACCGTGTGTCGTGGCCTCTGTACAGTCCTTTGGTTTTAGTACTGCTGGTGTGGCCCAGTCAATATATGGGTATGCTCTGCCTTATCTTGTGCACCTTGTACCTCTCCGTATTCAACAACCACTACGTTTGAGATTCAAGAGAAGGGGAAAAAAGAACCCCCAAAAAAGCCCTTTAGATGACATGTTAATTCTAATCTCAGAAGACTGAGAAAGAAATCTGAATCTGAACAAAATGAATAAAAGTGGTATGGAACAAAGTTTTCGGGTGCCCCAAAACTACACATATAATAGAAACTTTCTCCAGGCAATAAGCATCTATCATAAAGTCAATAATGTTCTCTTCAAACTCCTTGGATGAATCCAGTCTTCACACTGGAAGATCAGAAGCATTGAATACCGGAACGAAACAAGGGGAGAAAAAGGTCCTGGTATGGCCTTGTGCTGTGTTGTTTTCTGCAAATCGAAAGGCAGTACGTCTCTCTGAAGTGCTGGTAAGAGATGTGGATGCCTCTATCCATTTCAGGCATTCGATAAACTCATAACCGTCTTGCTATACCGCCTAAACACACAACTCTCCGAGAGACGTCAACAACATCAGTGACTAGGAACAAGTTATACAATGCAGAAATCAGATGTTTAATGGCCACTAATCCCATAATAATAATTACAAAATAATGTAAAGACGAGCCAGAGTAAACAAAATATATGAACAAAAATGGCAGAGAAAAATGCAATTAGAGTCTTGGGCTTGATCCAACTGCCTTTTGCTTCAGTGGGAATCCTGATAGACTATTACCCCTATGTAATTAGAGATTTAGGCTTAATCCAACTCCCATTTGCTTCAGGAGAACTGGGATAGGCCTCAATGCCCTAATTTTCTTGCCCCTTCTATATTCAGCTCTGCATAAGCTGAGTGGACCTGCAGCTCCACTGCTGTGGTCATCTGCTCTGTCCAAAGGGGCATGTTTCAAGAGTCAGAAGACAAAAGTAGGTGTTAAACAGAATGCTCACACCTGCTCTGCACATACTTTCCACAGATATAAATGATTAGACAAAGCAGTGAAAAATCAGGTCTCTATATTTATTCAGGGTGCTGGAAATGGAAATAAAGTTTTTTCCACTGCCATAAAAGAAAATTAAGAACTCCTAGTTCTTTAGCAAAACTATATGTAAATCTCRCTTGGAAACCTTTGGGAAGGTTGTCTCTCTTAACAAACAACTAGATGGAACAACTGATGGATACAGCCCTTCACTTCTGCTCACCAGACTACAAATATCCTGTAAAATATTTMCTAGAGATGCCACTTCCAAAGGTGGGACTAGGAGTCTACAGATTTATATTCCTAAACACAAGGCAACAATTCTGACTAACAAACCCGGTTTTGGCCATATTCTGGAATCGCTTTAAAAAAAACAAAGGTCACATCTCTTGTAACATTGTAATTCCAATTTCCAAAATATGACTGGGGGGAGGAAAGAGATAATAGAGTTGGTTTTGTGCAAGAATATAGACATTACTGACTTGATAAATTAATATATCTTTAACAGTAGCAATTACTACTGAACCTGCTATTATCACAAGCACTCAATGGTCAGCGCTCTGTATATTGAGAGTATGTTAAATATCTGCAGACTAGCACGCTTGCCCTCCACACACACTACTGCACAGAGATACAGTTATCCAGACCAGGTTAAACAGGCTAACCATATGATCATATAACTATGTGAATGCATGTCTTCATGCACTGTGGGTCTGCACACACCGTGACTAGTACGTGCAACATAAACTCACGTATGTGCATCCTTTAGTGCAACAYTGACCGTCACAGCTAAACGGATATACTTAGGCTTTCTACTGATTTGGAAGAACTTYTAAAAAGGATTGCACGTATGCACAGGCAGACACACTTAAAAATACATACAAAAGTATGTAATGATCTCTGTGACATTAATTGTGACAAGTATTCAGAAAGCTAAGTTTAAACACTCAGGTAAACACAGACCTGTATGGCCACACTCAGACAGCATATGCACCATGGAGGCATCTATGCAGATTGCATAGACATTGCATACACTTGCATACACATTCTCATACTACTGTCTGTCTGCCCAAATCAGTCATTTGAGCTAGAATCATCTCTTTTTTAATGTGGTTTTTCCCTTGTGTAGAGAGACATACATACATGTTTCATAAACAGCAATTACAATAAATACAGGCACACTTTAGGATGTGCATACCACCACTTACATACATTTCAAAGAGAAGTCCCTGTTTTTGAAAAAAAAAAAGAAACAAAAACAAAAACAAACAAAAAAGCCCTATTTTTCCTCATAAAGTACGACTCTCTTTGTGAGCTGTTCGTGTCCTTCAACGACGAGTCAGATGAGAAAAGCAAAAATATCAGCTATTAAATAATAACTGTTTGGATTACATTTATAAAGACCTTCTCCCCCCACTTCCCTCACTTCACTTTTCTTCCTAGCATTTTACTCCAAAGTACAACTTCCACATGCAGCCTTGTCGTGAAGGATGTGACTTGGAAAACAAAGCATGGAGGAGCAGTAAAAAYGATTCTCTAGGTTAGGACACTCAAGCTAAAGGAACCGTTCTGGTACCTTTCCTGTTGCTACTGCCATAGCGYCATAGATGCACATATCCCAGTATGGAAAAGATGTGGAAAATGTGATGCTGASAAGCTCACGTTCTAAATTAGACTAACCTAGAAACATACCTGAGGGGCACGAGGAGCAGTGAGGAGCAGAGTGGGGATGCTTGGGCAGTGTAAGGGTTTTCTGCAGAAGGCAGACTGCGGTTGCTGTTAGGTTCCACATATTCCTTGCAGTTTTGTTTTATCATCCTTTTTAACCTGTCTGTTATCATTGACATTTCTCTGGTAGATCTCCTCTGAAAGGACCTGCAGAATAAATCTGTCTTGAAGAAGAATCTGCAGAAAAAGACAGCATCTGAATAGCAAAATTAACTGAGAGTTGGTCATTTTTCTTTAGAGAATAGAGGCACCCTGGAAGCCTGGGTGGAGATGGGGAAAATGATGGGGGAAGGGAATGCAAAGGGAATAGGGAGAAGCTAAGCTATCCAGAGAACAAGTATGGTGAAGATGAAAGTTGATAGTGCCCTTCTTCCTCAAACTGGTAGGAAGGTCAAAGTAGTAGCCAGCAGACCTCTCTCCCTGAAGGGCTGAAAGATTTGTTGAACGTCTCCTATGAAAAGATCTGAGTAATATAAGACTCTCTGGAAACCCTGGAGTGATTATGAGCACCACTGTTCTTCTCACAAGTATTTATCAACACTGAAGCTGCCATGATTGCTGGGGACCAACTTTATTTGTTCCCGCTGTGGCAGTCCTGCAGAGTCCCACAACAACCCATGTCCTCTGCCCCAAGGGCAACCTGGAGGATAAGGCCCAGCTGGAGAAAAAAAATGGCAGGTGGAGCTCCAACAGCCAGCTCTGGCTATAAGTATTTACTCACGGCTCACCATGCATGATGAGTAATGTCCTGGTACAGCTGTTTGATGGCTTCTCATTTGTTAAAAGGAGTGGGGGAAATTTAAGGTTTTTCTTTCTCTCTTTCTTTAAAATGGGATGGATCCTCAATTCGTACCGGTGAAATGTTTAGCCATCTTGGAGCTGGTGGCACTATACAAGTGACAAGAGAACCAGACTGCAGGTGTTGTAGTATTTCAAAAATAAATGCACATGCATTTCACTGTCTAGAACACAGTTTACACTAGGCTATCTATGTTCCAGCTGCTACTTTGAGTTATAAGTCAATATGATGAGTCTATATAGCTGTATACTGTCCTCTCAAACGTATAAGTCAGGCTTCTTCCAGTGTCCTTTAGCATCAGTTATTAAAACCTGGTGTTTAAAGGAAATTACTTGGGAAGCAGACAAGCTCTAGGGATGCCTGTGATAAATCAACACTTTAACTATACATTTATGTTTATACGTAAAGAATGTATACGTATATGCAAATAAAATGAAAAGCTAATGGGTCATATTGACTTTCAACAAATAATGCTGTTGGCGTTTTTGATTTTTATTAAAGCTTTTAAATATTAGTCTTTTCCTGCGGGACGCATTGGTGAGATGTACTGTCTGATATGCCCTTGGCCAGAATTATCCTTACACACACTGTGCAGTTCACACACATTATGCAGTGCGCTATAAGCTGATTATTTTCTTGGCTGCAGCCCACCCTCTAAGCCTGGGCATTTCAGCGTGGAAGGAATTCCTGTACATATGTCACTTGTAAAGCGCTGTGAGATCCTTTGGGATGAGTATGCACTGTAGGCTGTACACAAAAGGAGTAATAAATAATAGATGTACTATATGTTTGTAGAACGAGATTGGTTAAAAAGTGCTAGTCTTAGGGATAGGCTGTAAAATATTACCATGCACGTGTGTGTAGATGGAAGTACATGCCACAACTCTTCCATAGCATAAGTTTAGTTTTTTGAGCTCCCGCACAGAAATTCCAGACAAAACGGTAAAGAGGGACATATGGTGGAATGAACTGTAAAGCCCAGCTCTCACAGTGCTTGGTCCAAGGGTCTTTGGGATCGCTTGGAGGAAGCGGGAAAAAAATCTGCTGCTGGATGTTGGGTTTGATATGGAGAGGGGTAGGAGTTTGATACCATCCTGCTGAATCACCAAGGAAGCATGAAGCTTTTCAGTCCTGGTCATGACATTCAAAAAGCAGGCTTGAGCTAAGCAAGTCAAGGAATCAYATTTCTGTTAAAGCTGTTATCTTTCTAAGGTCCTCAAATTGTAGTTATGTATTTTTGATGCTTCTTGAAGATATGTACATGCTCCTAATTTCAATCTTATTATCTTAGCAGTTAGGAAATTTGCATCAACATCTTCCTGTCTGAGTAATTTAATTCCCCTTTTTAAAATAAATTCAAATTAGCAACAATAAAAGAAAATACAAAAACCTCGTTGAACTCAAATAGTTACCATAAACAATCCCCCAAAACCAATCAGGCATTGTGCAAAGTTATTGTTTTGTTGAGGACAGACCAGCTGAAGAAGAGGGCCAGACCCTGCTCTCACAAAAATCTATACTGTAATTCCCATTGATTKAAAAAAGAATAGGGCCAGAAGGAGAGACACACTTGATAACAGGGTTAGGTGTACTAAGGCAAGCAGTGCTGAGAGGATGGCTGGGACAAAAGGTTGGATATTTCAGGCCAGGAACATCAGCTTTCCCAGAGTTGCTGGGAATGCTTAATTCTGTTTCATCACTGAATGCTTAAAAAAAAAAAAAAAAAAAAAAAAAAAAAAAAAAAAAGTTGGATTATTCCATGCATTAGGGTACATGGCTGCCTCAAAACACAGCTTCCTTAGCAATATCAATAATCAAGTGATGAGATTTGTCACTCTTTACAGTCTCATTGACTTGAGGGTCACCATCTGTTTTCTGCATTGCAGTGCAGGTCACTAAGCTACAATGGGCAAGATTCATTTCCTAGTACTTGTTGGTTTACATTTTTTTAATTACTGTGTACCAGAAAAGCCCTGTTCTGTGTTTAACTGCAAACCATTCAGGGGAAAGCTGAAATACAAAAATATAAACAGAAGTGTTGTTGTATCTTCCCGGAAAAAAAAAAAAAAAACTAATGAAATATCTAGCTCATCTTCAGTTTTTCTATTTAACACAAAATCTAAATCTAGAAACAACTTCATTCATTTTCTCCTTTTAACTATTATTTCTGTGGCAAGACAGATGTGTACTGACAGACAAACAAATTGATTATTTGTGAGGTACCAATTGGGGAATACATTTTTTTTTTCYGGAATTTTCATTTAACTGGCCTTGAATGAGAAGGATTTCAAAATTCTCCACACTTTATAACTGTATAAAATATATTTATATATATAAATATTATCATCATACATTGCTGTAATATTTTGATAGATGAGCAGATAACACTAATGCTGACGTATCGTAGAGTTGATATGGTGGAAAGACACTAGTTTGACTATTGTGTTCTTCAGAACCAGCAGAAATTTTAGTAAAACACAAAATGATTTTAATAATATTAGAGTACTTTAGAAACAGACTTGAAYCAGAATGCTATTAGAAGTAAATAATCATGTCACAAGTGCTATCAAAAAAAGAAAAGAAGAAAAAAAAAAGAGGAAGAGAGGCAAGGCCCMATGTCTCTACACGGTGGGATCTGCTGTCTAGTCATTATCAAGCAGAAACTGAAATGGTCCAGATAACCTTGAAAAGAAAGCAATTGGAAGTAGCTATGCTAGATAAGCTACCAGTCTGAAATCAGCACGGGCACATGGAGACTACAAGTCGTGAGCACTATTCATATATCCTGCATGAAATGAATCTGTCAGTCTCAATTCATTTCCCAGCGTACACGTCACAAAAATACACCCTTAAAACGACCTTCCTTGTTGGGAGTTTCAGCAAGGAAATGAAAGAAAGAATAAACCACAGAAAATCGACTTCCTTTCAGCCTTTAAAGTGGGTCACAGAGGAGCAGCACGGGAATTCCTGATGGCCCACGAGGAGTCTATGGAGCAGGTATGGGCCCTCACGAACGCAGATTAAAGGCCCGACTATAAACGGCACTGGATCTCCCTTCACACCTTACGTGGCCAGCAGACATTCCTAAACTAATGACTGCTTACAAACGCTTTTCCAATACAGGATCTGATCCCTAAACACTCGTTCATTCACCTTCAGAGGTGAATTTTGTTTCAAAGCTCAAATCACAGCCCARGTTTTGAATTCACATACAAGATTTGAAAATTTGGCTTGAGAAAGAGAGACCAGCTACAAATTCCAAGCTGACACTGAACCACCCACGTAGTTATTTTTTCAAATTGTGCCACAGTTCTAGGATTACATTTCCTCTGTCCAGAAAACTGCTGGAGTATATACCTCCAGGTAGACCCTTTTCTACAATGCTTATCATAAGCTTAGAAGACCAAGTACTTGAAAGTGTTCAGTCTTGTTAATATGCAAGATACTTCCCGCACCGCATTTGAGAGATTTAGCTTTATTTTCAACTTATCAATGAATAGATTTTTTTTTTTTACACAAATTATTCAATGAGTGATGGGCAACATATTTCTGCCCGTTCTGCTCACAAGCTATTCACAAAAACATCTGCTTTGTCTGTTTCGGAAATTCACTACTCACAGATTAGTATTTATGAGGGGTTATTGGACACTCRAATGCCCTGACATCCATGGCATCATTTTTACCCTTGATGTCCCCATCAAGGGTAAAATCTACAGTCACCAAAGGCTGCATCATGAGAGCTGCATGCAGACTTCCAGTTTAGGCACTTGTATGGGTACATAAATGCATTGTTGCATGCAACACACTTTTTCTACATAATATCACTGTAATGAATGTTTGTGGAAAGTGGAAATTGGCTCTTAATTACCATCAAAACAAATAGTTTTATCCAAACAGAAGTCTGCATTTTTTTTCAGCAGTCATCAGTCTACTGATGTACTAATCTCCATTGATAGAATACATTTCCAGATTTTACAGATGAATAGAACATCATTTAAAACTATCCTCAAATTCTTAATTTAGAAAATAATAATTCCAATACTATATATGCATATACTCCTATCATACACACTGCAGGGTAAGACACAGTCATATATAGTACYTAATGCCAGGTGCAGTGCTTGGGAGGCTCCCCCATGACCAGCCCTCTGAGTGATTTGTTTGGAATTTTTTTTTTTGATGAAAAATCCTCAAACATTCCAGCAAACTTGCTGCCACATCTCCTGATCTTCTTACAGGTTCCCGTTTGGTTTAAGGATGCAGTGACACACTCATTATTGGAAGA